TGTGCTGATTTGCATACTGACCGTGTTTTGGTTGCCAAATATATAATTGTTCACTGTCTAAACAACAATAAACACCCCCCAACAATTTCACCTGACGTATAGATCGTTTACAAATAAAATTCTATATTGATTTTACTATGATTTCTAGTATTACACCTAGATATACCACTTTTCAGCAGGACGTGATTTTCCTGATAATTTACTGAAGGAAAACTGCTAATAAAATAATTCCACAATAAATGTTACTCAATACAGGAGTGACCAAACTGCTCTTTCTATCGCTTAGAGTGAGTGCTAGTTATCTAGCAGGTTCAGGATCGCTCACTTTTCTCCTGTGGTGTGATAACCAAGTATTGCTGAGAGATTATTCAATTAAGAAGTCCCTCCACCAAATTCTCACTAATTCTCAGTATGACACTTTTGTTCAGCTGTGTCTAACTGACCCTAACTCACGCTTAGAGTGACGTGTTAGTCTTATATTAGCTAACAACTAATATTTGCTTTTATCTTTTGGAGCAAACAAACCAACCACTGGTGAGGAGAATTAAACTTTTATTTCTACCTGAGGTTTGAGAGGGGGCAGAAGCGGCGGCCTTTTATGCTTTTCAGAGGCCTCTCTACTCCCACGCCTCGCACTAGTTACATGTGCTACATTTGTATTATAGATAGTTCTAGAATGATATAGGGGCTTGGGCTGTGTAAGCTTAATAATGGACTTAGGACATGACTCAGCAATAAGTAATTCATTTCTTTGTCTTTTGGGCCGATCTCAGCGGGGTCTTGTAGCGCTAAAACTATGCTCTACACCGCCCTAATTACAAACGGTTATCTTTAGAAGTCACTCAGCTATAAAGGAACTTTCTAGACTGTTCTCTAATTCACCCCTTTTTGTGAAGCCGCATCATTACTAATGTTCTAGAGCCTTCCCAATTAATTAACTGATCTGCGGACTTCTTAATCACTTCATGCTTATGATCCGAGATCCAGATCATTAATAATTCTTTTGTTCCGATTTATTTGAGCTTAAAATCAAAAGGTTTTGATGAATCATGGAAAAATATACAAGATCCGGTTTTTTAGCAATTTCTCCTCTTCTGATGCGATCAAAAACTGTCCGCCCGCGCCAGGGAATACTCTATCATATGGTATTCGGTCCGCCAGACTTCCGGGCGCCAATATATTTCCCTTGAGTCACATTACTTTTTGTAAGAATTAGCAAATAAATATATATGAATTATAAGGTGTTTCGCCGTTTGAGCAATATCTCCGTCATTTTCGAAGCTGTTAGAATGAAACAAAACCGTGGATAAAGTTAGGAAACAGTCCTTTCAGATAATAAAAAGATTATAGTCAAAGGTTTACTGGTTACCGAGATATTCACATTTCTTTCCCAATGTTGCTTCTTATTCTGCTGTCTATGTGTTATTTTCTTGTTGTAGGGATATATTCTTTGAATATTACACCTATGCCAGGTTATAGGCATGCTTGTAGTAGATTAAATCTCATGCTACATGGGTGTAGATAATTTATAATGATCTTCTAATGTCTGTCCAGTCTCATAAAGATCATGAGATCTGTTAAACATCTGAACTTGTCACCTGGTTGTTGACTATTCTGATGGATCATTGTTTTATTCTTTGAATATTATTTCTCCTACAGCGCCCACATACAAATGACTACAGGAACGATGCACGTGATTACCGAATGTGGGCGCGAACTTTTGCTAACTCGACGAATACCAGGAAATAGAACACAACTTTAGTACCATTGGAAAGGTGGGAATTTATGATACCAAGAACGTGAAAAACCATCCAGAAATGAATGAGATACAAGGACATGAAGTTAGAAACCTAAAAATGCACAGGAAGACAGCTTCAAGAGGTCCAGAGCCCTAAATAAAATACATAAAAATATGATATCTTTGAGGACGACCTACTATAACAATGAACAATACATATGGAGGATTAGGATGTGATAATACAAAGGGGAATCAGGGGAGATGAACGAAATCCACGAAAATGTCAGGGCACACCCGCCTGACCCTGCGCCACACCCCGCGCTGTACTGCCCTACTCCACTTCCCCCACTATCACTCCCCGTCCCTCCTTTCTCACTTTCCCCCTTTCTCTCTATTTCTATTCTACGGTCGATTTCCCTTTTCTCCATGTACCACTACATACCTAACCCTGCTCCCCTGATTGCTGCACACGCCACGCACACCCCCACCTACTGAGTGGCCACCTCTGGGATCTCCCTATATAATAGTGCCTGGGGTGGGAACAGAAGAAGCAGCCTTCTTCTCAACTTCCCACTTCAGGTAAGTACCATAGCTTTTCCCTTTTAATGAGAACTCAACTTCCCACTTCAGCCTAAGTGGTCGGGGATGCTCACCCCACAACGGGACTGCCGCTACACATAGCTGACACCTGTCCCATTGAGTCCCTCATGCCGGGACTGTCATATCCATCCCCGGCCATCGACTTCCGGTCCCTCCGTTCCCTCCGTTCTACTCCGCTCCTCTCTCACCAACCTCGGAGCCCCCATATTCCGCAAACCTCTCGGTACCCCTCGATGGTCACCACCCCCTCATTTCAATTTATTACCTACACCTCCCTAAGTACAGAGCCCCGAAGACTTCCGGACAGCTCCGACGTCCGCTAGCGCACCCCCGCCTCCGCTGGGCAATACACTCGCCTGCCCTGCAGAGCCCACCTTCGGGCCTATCCCTCCTTTCCGTTTCTGGGTTAACGCCTGCCTTTCCGCTAACCCCGCGAACCGACTCGTCGGTAATATTCAGTCAGCTAATGGTTAAACCCCATTAGCTCCGCTCCGTCGGCTCTGCCAATTGCGGAACCGTCCCCGCTGTAACCATATATATATCCCACTTGTACATAGGTTACACCCCAGTAGAAAAATCAACTAGAGTTACCCCCCCTAGGTTCTAAGTGCCAGTCAGTAAGTTAGGGCACGGACGTGTCACTAGGCACAGCGCTCTTGGTAGAAGTCGCTGAGGCCGAAGCCCTCTGTTACGGAGACATTCCCTCGTCTCGAGTCTGGTCTCTGACAGGGACCTTGCTGCTTTCAGAGCTGTCCCTGACAGAAAACCACTAAACTATGACGGACCATGGCGGGAATTTTAGGGAATGATATTCTAATGAAGTGGAGAGCTATAATACATTCATTTGAGTAATTCTTGACTACTGGCAACTTTTTCTTTTGGTTTTAAACCTGAATAATTCACTCATTTACCATTTCAAGTCTCATTTTAACTAAATGTCGCTGGATAAAAATGGAATAAATCAGCTGAAGGTCTCAGCACAGCTGTACACATAGTAATGCGAAGTTCGAATTCAGAATCACTGAGTCATAGCGAACTTAATGGTAAATATGAGGAATTTGAAATAGAAAACTGCGACAAATGCAGTGCAGTCAAGTTCTAATTAACCATTAAAATAGCTTAGGTGAGGAAGGACAATAAGGATTCTAGGTGCAGTCTGACCACAGTAGAGCCACAGTTCAGTGCAGCTGAGCGCAGTAGAACTATAGCGTGAAAATTTCATTTTTTATTCAGTTTGAAGAAAATACACTGTAAATAAATCCTGTAAATATGAGGTAGAGTGTGAAAAAGGAAGGCAACCCAAGGAGTATAAAAGGGAGACCCTTTCTGCGACCTTTTGCCCCCCTAAGAGAAGTAAGAAAATAGAGTATTATTTTTCTCAAGCATTTCTGGTTGTCACTCCAGTGCGAAAAAGTGATATACAGTTAAGATTGCCACTGTAGTAAAAGGCAGCAATTAAGGAGAGAAATATTAAGTAGATATTTCAACAGGAGAGCTGGTTAACACTCCAGATTTCAAAGTGTAAACACAAAACAGTTATTTTGCTACTGTTTAAACAAGCAATAAAATAACACAAAAATAAAACAAACTCAAGGGACACTCCAGACACGATCTAAATCCATTAACTGAGTAGAATCTTTGAAACTTCACCAAGTAAAAGATTTAATTCAAGTTAAAATCCAAATTAAACAACTCTACACAGAATTACACCCAGACAAATTGAGAAATTACAAGAGGAACAGCTCTGCAGGGCTTGGTTTATCTGTAAGTCAATTCTCAGAAACTTTTAGACTAACCCATAAAATAGAATTAGCCAAAACACTCGGATTGGTACTATAATTACAACAAATATTGCTAGTACACTTCCCCATCCTAACTAAAGAACCAGGGAACAGCTTGGTGGTGGTCTCATTTGAACCTCCCAACTGACCTTCCTTTGTTCTCTCCTTCAACATGTGCGTGTGGGAAGTATGCCAGCAATTCCTGTCTACTCTGCTTACCTAAGTGCCAGTGGCCCAGATCATCTCCGGCATTGTTCTGGAACATTCTATGATCATGTGATTCTATCAGCAATCTGTTTGGTTTCCTTATTGCTGGACTCTGTCAGGGGATGGACCCTGGGTCCCCATGACCCCTCTCTCTATAGCCCACAGCCCTGTGTGTAAACAGCCTATCCTAAGGCATAACCTACTGTGGGTAAGAAAGTGAGAAGAAGGTTAACTTCTCACTTTCCCACAGTGGCCCCAATATGGCGAAAACTTCCGGGGATACCTGGAAGTCACATGAAGGATAGGAACCAGGCCCGGAGCATGCAGCGTGCAGAGCGTGCAGGGCGGAGGCGCACATGCGGGTCCAGGTGCAGGTCCGGATGCGGGTCCGGGTCCGGGCTAGTCAGGGTGTGTGCCCTGACAGACTCTACATGTATATAGCTGACTCTAAGATGGGGACATTTCTTTCCCCCAGCTTTAATCACAACTAGGTTATCAGAGCAACCTGCATGAGCACACATGTCCCCTGACACTCATCTGAGAAATATTGGGTGACTCCAATAAATGAAATGGGTAGAGGAAGGATATAACAAAATGTTGGGAATCCATCAGGAGGTCGGAGCAGTCTGGGGATTCTGAAGGTTCCGACTCAGGTCTGAGCATCCAGGGTGGAGATGGCTGAGGGTGAGTGTGCTGAGGTCCAGCCTGGAGCAGAGACAGTAGGGGCAGAAGTGGAGTGGGACCATGGGGGGGAATGGTGTAGGGGATGGCAAGGTTATAGGGAGTGTTGTAGTGAGGTGCAGGAGTGCAGGGTTGGGATTCTGGGATATGACACACCCAGACCACAGTGCAGTATTGGCACTGTCACCACTACCCTTCCTTCCCTCTTTCTGACCCAATTCAGATACTTCCCCCAGGTCCCTACTCTCTCACCTGGGCAACTTTTCTGCCCAGTTACAATGTGCTTTGGAGCATCAATCAAATTGGGAATGAGTGCAGGGTTAGCTGGATCAACTTGCCAAGCATAAAAAAGTGTAAGCACATGGTTCTAAGCACCTCACACTCCCAGTCCATCTCACAGATATGCTGTAATATGCCATATTGTTACAGCGAAGTGCAAAAAAATCTGCCGGTTTCGATTTTGATGGAAGCGATCTGGGGTGGAGTCACCCACTACCAGAATCAGGATTTGAATGGAAACCCCAATGGCACTGTAGAACTCCCCCTAAATGTGGTACTTAAGCACCCAAACTCATTGCCCTTGCATCAACAAACCGTTAACTCTGTCTAACTAACATAGGAATACATCTTGAGTGCAGTGCAAATGATATCTTAGTGTCACTATCTTCGAGGATGACCCAACAAGAGATTGCTGAGGCCTTGGGATTGATTGTCCAGACATACTGTTTGGGCATTGCTCGCTGCTCCACATGCACACCATCAGGATCGAGAGGGCAACATCGAGCGCCCAGTATCCATGCAGTGAATGTAAGTACAAAAATCATGTCTAAATAAAACTTGTGGTGTATGATCTCAAGTTCCCTGACAGCCTCATCAAACAAAAGCCTGATTTGTATCTTGACAAATTACAGGCTGCGCTTAGAAATGAGTACTCGAATTCTGATCAAAAGTATCTCAGTGAAGTAATAAAACATTGGAACATACCTTTCATGTCCTCCTCATTTTGTCTTTTCCTTTGACCTGCCTATTCCCTGACTTAGCCCCTAAGACTGATGCCTGAGCCGGCCCTCCTGCGGCAACCTGTACTAGGCAGAGTGTATACAGGCATGGGATTGAGCACAGCAATGGGTCCCCATTGACTTGGGTAGAGATATTGACCTGGGCGGATGGAGTGGGTGCAGACACAGGAGGTGGATTGGTAGTGGGCAGGTTCCAAGGAATATGGGAAGTGGCCATTGCGCCTCACAGTAAGATATGTCTGCACACAGGTGCACAGGATCGTCAAGTGGTTTCTCTTCCCCTCTCCTTGTGTGATTGGGAAGTTGCCATGCTACTGAAAGCAACTCCTAAAGTTTGCAAACTCCGCATGTTCCATATTTCCCTCATCACTCTCTATTCCTTCATCATCCATATCCATTTCGTCATCTGCATACTCATCTGACCCTTCCAAACCATCACTATAGTCTTCCTCCATATATGCCAAAAAGTTTTCAGCATCTCGTTGCTCGAATTCCTCGTCAGACTTAGTTTCGGACCCACTTCCTTCAGACTCATCCTCCTGTAACTCCTCTGAGTCCTCCAATTCTTCCGATTCTTCCCTATTCTTTTCCTCTACTTTCTGCTATGTTCTCTCTCTGTTCCCTATGCTATGCCTCTATCGCATGCCATCATCCCATTTTCTCCTGAGTCTTTTCTAGAACAATTGGTTCAGCTGCATCTCGATAGTAAAATATCTTGACACGTTGCGCTGCTACAGGCTTGGATAGTACTGTACCATCCAATTCAGCAAGGATATAAGCTCCAGATGGTCTTACTGTTACCACGTAATATGGTCCGGACCACCTTAGGATTTTTCCTTGTTGATTGTCCAATGAACTTTTATACACTAAAACCATCGTTCCTTGTGCAAGTGGTTTCCTATATCGTTCTCTCCCATGCTTTTCCCAATATGCATCAGCATTTCGTTTCCTTTGTAAGGCTAGATCTCTTGATGCTTGGTCAACATTCATATCTCTATCTTTTAATTGCTCCATTCTTAGACCCAATAAATCGACAGTATCTTCGATCTTGTGCCACTCTAATGTATGCCAGTATCAGAGACCAGGTTGAGACGAAGGAGAGTCTCCGTGGCGGAGGGCTTCGGCCTCAGCGACTTATGCCAGGAGCACTGTGCCAAGTAACACGTCTGTGCCCTAACTTACTAACTGGCAACCAGAACTACAGGGGGTAAACTCTAGTCGATTTTATTACTGAAGTGTAACCTATGTACAAGTTGGATATATATATAGTTACAGCGAAGACGGGTCCGCAAATGGCAGAGCCAAGCAGAGCGGAGCTAACGGGGTTAAACATTAGCCGACTGAATATTACCGACGAGTCGGGTTACAGGGTTAACAGAAAGGCAGGCGATAACCCAGAAACGGAAAGGAGGGATAGGCCCGAAGGTGGACTCTGCAGGGCAGGCGAGTGTATTGCCCAGCGGAGGCGGGAGTGCGCTAGCGGACATTGGAGCTGTCCGGAAGTCTTTGGGGCTCTGTACTTAGGGAGGTGTAGGTAATAAATTGAAAGGAGGGGGTGGTGACCATCAAGGGGTACCGAGGGGATTGTGGAATATGGGGGCTCCAAGGTTAGTGGAGAAGGAGCGGAGGTAGACCAGAGGGATCGGAGGGATCGGAAGTCGTTGGCCAGGGATGGATATGACAGCCAGGTTCGCTCCATGATATCAAATGGGAACATTGCCTCTTGTCCATAGAGAAGATAGTATGCTGAAAATCCCATAGCTTTCCAAGTGGTGATTCTATCAGCCCATAGTGCATAATGGAACCATTCTGGCCACTTGTTGGTGTTTCTGACACATTTCTTCCACATGGCATCAATCCAATATCTATGACCAACTTCTAACATCCCATTTGCCCTTGGATTTTCTGCAGATATGTGTATGATCGGAACTTTGTACTTCTTAACTAGTACTTCCACTGCATCTTTGAACTCTGAACCATTATCCATGATGAGTTGAGGGATACAACCATATCGACACATAATGTTCTCAAAAATAAACTTAGCAATAGCTTGAGAACTCTTTGTACAAAGCATGCAAAGGGTGGAGGTGTCATGAGGAGTAAGAGGAGGAGTGAGAGGAGTGATGTTTGGTCCGAGATGAGTATCGGAGCAAATGGGAGAAGGGTAGGAGAAGGACAGAAGAGTAGAGGTGGCATGAGGGGTGAGAGGGGGAGTGGTGTCAGGTGTGGTGTCAGGACCGAAGGTGAATATCGGAACGGATGGCGGTGGGGTAGGACTCCGGAGGTGGTGAAGATGGAGGTCCGGGAGTCGGGTTGGGATCGGGTATGCACGGATATGACAACTATGGTGGTGACACTGCAAAAGAGAACATGACCTAAGACATACATCAGGAAAATATTGTTAAGTTCCTGAGTGCTCTGGAGTATGGAGAGCACTGGGAGAATCAGGAGGAGATTGGCCAGTCCAGGAAAGGCTTACACTTCTGCCTTTCCTTCAGAGTTGGCTAGGTACTCCAGGGCACTCCCAGGAGGGCATGGAGCATTGCTTTGTGCACAAACATATC